TTACTTAACTGCTCTGTTCCTTTGTAAAATGGGGCTAATGCAGGTACTTCAGAGACTTGCCCCATTTTACAGAACCGAGGATAATGAGGTGACGCGTGTGGAATCTCGGCACAACGTCTGGGCCAATGCAAGGGCGCGGTAAGTGTTCACTGTTGCTGCTGTTACTCCGGGAGCAAAGGGCTGGCCAGAGACCAGAACCCCTGTCTCTGTCCCCAGACACTAAAGAGCAACAGGAAACTGAGGCCAAGGAGCCAACTGGCCTACGTGACCCAGGTCCACAGTCGGGGATCCCACCTCACTTTGCCTGCCTGGGCCGCCTCTGGGCTTCCTTGAGCATAGTCCTCAGGCTTCCAGCCTTTTCCTCCGCTTTGAAGCTCTTCTGAGCTAGGAGCTGAAGCCCCATGAGCGCTTCACTTCCCCATCCTCCCGGTTCTACCAGTGTCTCCGGTAAGTGCCAAGTCCCACCCGCTGTGGATGAAGATCAGGACTTAGAAGGCCTGGGTCTGAGTTCTTGCTCTAACCCTGAGGAGCTGTGTGACTTTCCGGGGCGGGGCAGTCGTTTCACCTCTCTGAACTCTTGTTTCCTCCTCTACAACATGGGGACCGCACCACCTATTTTTAAATGGTAAGCCTTGAGCGAATGATATTAGTTACCATCTTTCAAGGCCTGGCTTAGCTGTCTCCTCCTCCAGGAAGTCTTCCTTGGCCTCCTCAATGTAAAAGCTTCCTCCCTCCAGCCTCCATCGGGTATTGGTAGTCGCGGGCTGCATCCTGGCCCCGTTGGGAGCTTGCACTCATTCTGCCTCACACAGACTTCACTGACAGAGGGCAACACCCATTTTGCAGGCCCAGAGAGGTCCAGAGGTAGAGTGGCTCAGGCTCTCTCATGGGATAGAAGGGTCGGAGTGACAAAGAGGGGGTCAGGTATAAGGCAGAGTAGACTGCTCAGGGAGGAGCCAACAGACTTGAGGGGAGGGTACTTCAAGGAAATGCAGGTTGGGCAGGCGGCCCACAGTGGGGGAAACTCCCCACATGAGGAAGCAAGGAATGACGAAAGACCATTTTTGAACACGTAGCCCGACATAGTCACCCAAAGCCCCCGTCCCCACTCTTCAAGATTTCTCTTTATGGCTCCTGGAGTCCCTTTCTAAGGAGGTGTAGACTCATCCATTCCCTTCCGCCAACCAACCCCATCTGAAGACTTTCCACGCGTATAACCTATGATGCACCACTTGGCATATGAGGAAACACGCTCAGAAAAACTAAGCCAGGAAGGACTGATACTTGATACTAACAACAGAGCCCCCACCCTTCCTACTCCAAGCCCTCAACCTCATTTGCTTTTATGTTCACTAACTCTTCACCTGCGACTCCACTCCATCCACCTCAGAAGAAAAGCAGGAGCCCAGATTGGCTGTGAGAGCTCTCCTGGTCCCATCTAGGGTCACCCGGCCACCCGTTACTTCGCTCCTCCATCTTCCCCAGAGTTTCACAACAGGCCCAACATTCAGAGCATGGCTTTCCAGCTCCTGGGTCACCTTTTTGGGTCCTTCTGCACCACACTCCCCACTGCAGCAGGCAGTACTCCTAAGCTAGGAGGCATGTGGACATCCTGACCAAGTTCTGTCACTCTCAGCTGTGTGACCTTGGGCAAATCACTCAACTTCTCTGAGACAGCATCCCTATCTCTACAAACGGGGATGACAAGAAAAACCCGCACAAGACTGTTGTTGTACAGAGCCAGGGAGATAAGGTAAAACCAACCCAGACTCGCAGTTTCCCTTTGCTTGCCTCATCCTTGGCACTCCCGCTCTAAGAGGAACCACAGAACAACTCCCAGGGAGGACACTCACTGAAATATTTTACGCCAGCACTACCATTTTCATTGTTTCAATAGCCCTGGGAAATAAATGGTGAGGGTTATGACTGGGCTAAGAATTAAATTCAAGCTCTTACTTAGCAGCTCAATAGCTCAACTTAATCTCTCAGTGCCTCAGTTTCTTTAGTCTGTAAAACAGGGCTGTTCAGAAGATTAAAGGAGCTTATGCAAGATAAGCACTCACCACGGTGCGGGCACACAGCTAATGAATGGTCAGCACATGTTAGTCTCCTTACTTCCAATTACATGAAGAGAACTGGTGTTCAAATACAGGGCAAGAACGATTAGTCCGAGTGGTCAGGTGAGGAGATGGAGACAGGACGGGAAGGGCCAAAACACAGAACCAACTCTGGGCTGGGTCTGAGAATGAATCCAGAGGCTGACTGGCAAACCCACGGTAAAACAAACAAACAAACAAACAAACAAACACAAAAGCCTCAAGGACTCAACACACAGTGTCCGTCCAGGTGTCCCTCTACCCATCCTGCCACTGTGTGGTGCTGTGGATCTGTCCACCTGTTGCCCTCCTGCAGAGCCTATGGGCCTCCCTGGCCTGCAGGAGTGGGCCTGTTGTCCAAAGTGCCCCAGTGCTGGCACAGAGCAGGCATTCAGTAACGATGAATAATGACCACCTGCGTCTGTTTCTAAAGAGCTCTGTTTTTCTGTTCCTGGAAATACTCCTTCACGGTAACTGCCGGCGAACTCACTTCTGTCCCACAAACACCCCAGGAAAGAACTTGCAAAGCTGTAGCGCCCAAGTGTACAAACACCACACTCAGCAAAGAAGGCCCGCCCCGTGCACACGGCCACCACGGAGGGTTCACGCGCAGCCTCGCAATCCTCGGGCCCTCTCCAGGAAGCAAACCGTTCCTCCCGGCCCCCTCCTTCCTAGTCTGCCCCATGACTCATGCCCGAGCCGGGCTGGCAGTAGAGCCCAGGGTGGCACAAAAAACTCTCCACCGTGACTAGGCAGAAAAGAAGCGGGAGCCAGCGCCAGGGCCTTGCCAGCTCTAGCAACCCAAGAGATGCACTCGGAGGTGTGGCCGGGGCGGGGCCGGGTCGGGGCCCCTGCACCCTGGGCGCCAGAAAACTGCACACCCTCCGGCTCCACGATTGGCCGCTCCGGCCACGGGGGCCTATGGGGTGGTCCTCGCCTAGCCAATCAGGGGCCCCGGGGAGCCCATTCATTCACAAAAAACCAGCAAGGAAAGGAGCTTGGCGAAGCCCGGAATTGCCTGGAACTTTGAAACACCGGTGCGTTCCGTGGGGCCGACGCAGGAGTCCAGGAGGACCCGATCGCAGGAAGCTAGACGCGAACAGGGACGGTCCCGTTCCGGCCCAGCAACCCGGGCGTGGCGCGCCATCCTCCTGGGCCACACCGACTGGGGCTCCGCCCCCGACCCCATTAGGACACGCTGGACGCCCAGCTCACGCTGGGTCGCCAAGGGCCACCCAATCCTAAGGAAGGCGGCGCCTGGGCAGCTTCCTGGCAGTGAGATCCACGCAGGTGGCCCAGCGGCGGCTGCAGCCACGTGTGCGTTGAGCAAGGAGCCCCCCGCCCCCGCCCCGGTGCCTTCCTCCCCCGCCGGCCACTCACGGCAGTCGTCCTCGTCGCTGTTGTCCGAGCAGTCGTCGTCCTCGTCGCACCTCCACACGGAGGGGATGCAGCGCTCATTCCGGCACCGGAATTGGTCTTCTTCGCACTCTTTGACCGGCCCTGCGCGGGGGAGATGGGGGCGTGAGCAGGGTGGCGGATAGCGCAGTCCTGGCTGGGGGGAGGGGTCTACTGGGGTGCAGGAGAGGGGGCGATGATGGAGCCAACGACCTCGGGAGGCCTCGGGCCCCCTCGATCCGGAAGGAGGGGAATGGTAACGGGATGGCGGGCTACTCCGTGGCACGACGAGGCCAAGCACACTGTCCGTGTCACACGATTTGACTATACCCCCCATTTAGAACACTCACTCGCACTCACGGCCCATAGCCAGAGATCTACGCAGACATGGCCCACAGGGAGCCCCCGAACACGCCGCGACGCAAGCACTAGGCGCTGCGGGCACATCCCCCTCGCACGCAGCCCCTCTTTCTCCGCGGCGCGCAGGGGTCGCCGGAAACGCATTGTCAAGCGGGGAAGTCTCCCGGCTCAGCTCTCACTGCCGCCGCGAGGCGTGCGTGTCAAATAAACCCCACTGGCGAGATTCACGCAGCCCACCCAAAATCATCAATGACCACCCCTAACCTGCAAAGTTCCCGGCCCGCCTGGCCCCCACGGGGCCCATCCCCCAGGAGCAGGTGCCAGAGGGCAGAGCCAACAACACCGGGAGCCGCGGGGGAGGGGGTCGAGGGCAAATTGAAGGATAACTGGGTCCCGAAAAGCCTAACCCACCCAGGCCCGGGCTCGGGGCCCCCGCGCAACCCGCATCCCGGTCCCCGGGCCGCGCTTTGTTGGCGGCTCCGGCGGCTCAGAGCCCGGCCAGGGACCAGCCTCACGCACCTTCGCCGCCGCGCTGTGGATCTGCCGCCGCCGCGAGATGCTGGAGCTGCAGCAGCAGCAACAGCAGCAGCGCCAGCGGCCGGAGCGCGCCCCGCTCGGGGCGGCCCATGGCGGGCCCCGGGCTCCGGCCGC